TTTTGAGTTGGAGTCTCACTCTGTTGTCCAGAGTGAGACTCCAACTCAAAAAAAAAAAAAGAAAAATCTAGGAGAGATGGAATATCATAAAGTCCAAGTAGAAAGATGTTAATGGTGATAGGAAGACAGGTTACTTACTTAGAGCTTCTCAAACTTGAGAAATCACCTGGGCATCTTGTTAAAATGCAGATTTTAATTCAGTAGGTCTGGCCTAACAGCTGAAATTCTACATTTCTTTTTCTTTCTTTTTTTTTTTGAGTTGGAGTCTCACTCTGTCGCCCAGACTGGAGTGCAGTGGCCGCTCCCAGCCACCGCAGCCTTGACCTGCTGGGCTCTGGCGATCCTTCCGTCTCAGCCTTCCAAGTAGCTGGAACTACAGGCGTGCACTACCACGCCCGGCTAATTTTTGATTTATTGTAGAGATGAGGTCTCGCCAAGTTGCCAAGGCGGGTCTCAAACCCGCGGGCTCAGGCAGTCCACTCACCTCAGCCTCCTAAGGCAGGGACTGAAATTCTACATTTCAAATAAGCCCCTAGGAAATGTTGATGCCGCTGTTCTTTGAGGCATAAGAACTGAAGGGTTTGATATTCCCAAACAGGCATTAGGGAACAGAAGCTGTTTGTATCGCTCCCCTTCGATGCCAGAGAATTTGAACAGGCCAAGACTGAAGCAGGTGGTAAAATTCAAGGACAACCCAATAACAGACAAAGTAAAAAAGAAGTATTGTTCTGGCCATAGAGGGCTCAGGAAGGTAAGTACTTCTTAAGATGGGAATCTGTTAATCTTCTATCTCATGTCTTCTCTGCTTTTCTGGTAAGGGAATTGCTTTAGTATGCCTTTTTTGTCTTCTTTCTCTTTACTTACACTTTTTTTTTTTGAGTTGGAATCTCACTCTGTCACCCAGGCTGGAGTACAGGGGCATGATCATGGCTACCCCAGCCTCAAATTCCTGGGCTCAGGTGATCCTTCTGCCTCAGCCTCCTGAGTATCTGGGACTACCGGCGTGCGCCACCATGCCCTGGCTAATTTTTTTATTTTATTGTAGCGGTGAGGTCTCACTATGTTGCCTGGGTTCAAGCAATCCTCCTGCCTTAGCTTCCCAAAGTGCTGGAATTACAGGCATGAGTCACTACTCCTGACCTTGATACTTTTATTTTTTTGTTTGGTTTTTCTACCTTTTTGTCTTTTCTACATCTATCTGTATCTGTATGTAAAATATTTTACATAAAAACTATTTATACATGACATAGCTAGATATAAAAATATAATATAGACATATAAAGCATATCTATCTTGTACTTTTAGAAATAATGTTATCATACTGTCTTCCTAAAACCCTCTCTCTTAAGATCCGAGAGAATACAAGGGGACTTTGATTGGTATGATATTTGGTGCTGTTTTTCATGTAGTTTGATAGAAACAACAACATACGGCAGATTGGTTTTGTAGAGAACAATTTCTGAAAAACTTATAAACATTACTTTATGAAATCAATATATAGAAAAATAGAAAATACAAATAAGCAAAAATAAACCAATGTAAAATACCCATAATCCCACAAGCCAGAGTAGTTACTGTTAACACTTATGTACTCATGTTATTGCATTATATATTTTAATACAAATATATTTTTCTTTTATTAAGGTGGTATTACAAAGTACATGTTTTTTAACCTAGTCAATATCATGAACTTATTTATTTCCAAGTCAGTAACATACTTTTTGTTGTATACCTATAATATATGTGATATGATTTGTTTAACCAAAACCCTATTATTGAACATTTAATTTATTAGACATTGTATTCTGTTATAAATATGCTGAGATATTCATCCTTTTAGCCAAATCTTTATATATGTTTTCATTTCCTTAGGGATACAAGTGAAATTATTAGATTAAAAGTTATGTATATTGTTAATAAACTTTTACTCTCCCCACCCAGTTTTATTAAACTTTTGACATGAGGATTGGGGGTGAGTTGGGAATCTTGTCTTCTTCAGGGCTTAGGCATAAAGAAGACAGTCTCTCTCTGTGACATTAGTTTCACTCAGATGCTGGAGGAAGATTCTAACTGGGGGCATCTGACTGGTGATTTTTCCAAGGTGAGTTTGGTTGAACCTGTCCTATATTTTATTGAGTCATTTCAGATCCAAGTCTTTTCTTCTCTTTTTGCAGAGGATCTAGGAATAATTATGCATTCTCACCAAGTACTTTTTGATAACCTGAATGTGTTCTAATGGTAGATGTAGGTCTTAAGCCTTTCCAATAAGAAAGTATTTCTTATTCATGTGGGAAAGTTCAGAAGAGTGGAGAAAGTATGAGACTTTTTACCTTTTCTCTTTTTAAATATATATATTTTAATTATGTAACTAATACTTGGTCATTACAGAAAAGATAGAAAATGAAGAAATGTATCCCAAACCTTATCTACCAGAGTAATTATTGCTTGGTATATGTTCTTTTTTTCCTAATGCCTGTATAATTGCAGAAAGTGGTATATTTTTACAGACGTTTTTCTATGTGTTTTCACAAACATGTACACATTTTCTGGTTTTCCACAAAATTGATTTATACTGTTGCATGATCTGTTGGTGTTCTCTCATTAAATATTATATCAGGAGCATCTTTTTATGTCAATAAACAGTTATGCTTCATCATTTCATCTTTTTTTTTTTTTTGAGTTGGAGTCTCACTCTGTTGCCTAGACTGGAGTGCAGTGGCCGCTCCCGGCCACCGCAGCCTCGCCTGCTGGGCTCCGGTGATCCTTCCGCCTCAGCCTTCCGAGTAGCCGGAATTACAGGCATGCGCTACCACGCCCGGCTAATTTTTTGATTTATTGTAGAGATGAGGTATCGCTGCCCAGGCGGGTCTCGAACCCGCAGGCTCAGGCAATCCACTCACCTCAGCCTCCCAAAGCGCTAGGATTACAGGCTGAGCTACTGAGCCCAGCCCTCATTTCATCTTTTTAAAAACTTTCTTTGAGTTGGATGTCTTGCTCTGTTGCCCAGGTTGGAGAGCAGTGGCATGATAATGGCTCACGGCAGCCTTGACCTCCTCAAGCAATTCTTCCACCTCAGCCTCCCGAGTAGCTGGGACTAAAGGCACTCGCTACCACACATGGCTAATTGTTTAATTTATTGTATAGGCGATGTCTTACTATGTTGCCCAGGCTGATCTCGAACTCCTGGGCTTAAGCAATCCTCCCACCTTAGTCTCTCGAAGTGCTGGGATTACAGGTGTGAGCCACTGTGTCTGGCTCAATTTCATCTTTTTATTTTTTTTGAGTCAGGGTCTCACTCCATCACCAGGCTGGGGTGCAGTCACATGATCATGGCTCACCACAACCTTGACCTATTGGGCTCAGGCAGTCCTCCTGCATCAGCCTCCCAAGTAGCTGGGACTCCAGGTATGTGCCACCATGCCTGGCTAATTTTTTTTATTTTTTGTAGAGACAAGGTCTTGCTATGTTGCTTGGGCTGGTCTTGAACTCCTAAGCTCAAGAAGTCCTCTCATCTCAGCCTTTCAAAGTGCTGGGATTGTAGGTGTGAGCCACTGAACCTGACTCATTTTATCATTTTTTTAGTTGGAGTCTCACTCTGTCGCCCAGACTGGAGTGCAGTGGCCGCTCCCAGCCACCGCAGCCTTGACCTGCTGGGCTCCGGCAATCCTTCCGCCTCAGCCTTCCAAGTAGCCGGAATTACAGGTGCACGCTACCATGCCCGGCTGATTTATTTATTTTTATTTTTTATTTATTGTAGAGATGAGATCTCGCCAAGTTGCCCAGGTGGGTCTCGAACCCGCGGGCTCAGGCATTCCACTCACCTCAGCCTCCCAAAGTGAGGGATTACAGGCTGAGCCACTGAGCCCAGCTCATTTTATCATTTTTAATAGCGTCACATTATTTTATTTTTTGGCTGCTCATAATTTCTTCATAAATCCCTTCTTGTAGGACATTTAGTTCTATAACTTTTCTTCTTGAACGATACCAAGATGGACATATCTGTAGAGAAATCTAAAACTTTGTGCAGGTCCTTGATTAATTCTTAGGCTCACTTAGAAATGGATTTGCTGCATATTCACATTATAGAGACCATTGATTTTTGAAGGTCTCTGGGGTTTTGAGAGTCATTTAGAAAGAAAGACAGTAGATGGGTCTTTGATCTCAAACTTGGGTGTGAAATACTTGCTGTTATTTTAGCTCTTGTGTGTTTCTAGGTATGTGTGCTGCCAACCGTGTCGGGGAAACACCAAGATCTGAAGTATGTCAACCCAGAAACAGTAAGCAGATTTTGGAGATGGTAACTGGTTACATAAGCTACCATCTGGTCTGTTCTGTCCCTAAAATCCCCACTTCCATTTGTATTTCTTTCACTGTGTTAACTCACACAGGCTTCTTATTCAGCTGATGCTGTATTAAAGGACTCCTCTTTATCCCATTCTTTTCTCTTCTTTGTTTTTAGTTAAACAAGTGATACATAATTATTATAAAAAAGAAGGATGGAAGGAAGGGAGGGAAATAAAATGCAAAAACAGGGATGGGTGCAGTTGCTCATGCCTGTAATCCCTGCACTCTTGGGAGGCCAAAATGGGAGAATCACTTGAGGCCAGGAGTTCAAAACCAGCCAAGGCAACATAACAAGACTTCATTTCTACAACAAATCAAAACTTTAGCCAGGCATGGTAGCACATGCCTGTATTCCCCATGCCTGTGGAAGGATCATCAGATCCCAAGAGGTCGAGGCTGTGGTAAGCTATGATCATGCCACTGCACTCCATCCTGGGCAACAGAGGGAGACTCCGACTCAATAAACAAACAAACAAACAAAAATACCAAAACACAAAAAGGGAACAAAAGTAAAAATTACTCAAATAGGGTCTCAATCAGGGTGATCATGTATCCTGGTTAACATATTACAATCCCATTTATACCTATTAATGAAGGTAATTATTAATAGTGTTTGCTTTCATTCTCAAAATCTGCAGTTTGTTCAATAATTATTTGGTCACCCTTCCCACAATCTTATCACCAGAGATAATCACTAGAAATATTTTTGTTGCTGGCCTCGGTGGCTCAGCCTGTAACCCCAGCACTTTGGGAGGCTGAGGTGAGTGGATTGCCTGAGCCTGCGGGTTCAAGACTCGCCTGGGCAACTTGGCGAGACCTCATCTCTACAATAAATCAAAAATTATCCAGGCATGGTAGCACGCGCCTGTAGTTACAGCTACCTGGAAGGCTGAGGCGTAAGGATCGCTGGAGCCCAGCAGGTTGAGGCTGCGGTGGCTGGGAGCGGCCACTGCACTCCAGTCTGAGTGACAGAGTAAGACTCCAACTCAAAAAAAAAAAAAAAAAACGGAATTATGATGAATGTATAATGTTGCAGTTAGCGTAGTCAGACGTCATAAATATCATTTTATATCAATATACGTATTATCATTTTAATGACTATATAATATTCTAGTCTATTGACATACGTAACTTATTTAACTAAGCCCCCATTATTGAATATTTAAGTTATTTCTAATATTTTGATAACTTAAAACAATGCTGAAATGAATAGTACAAATCTTTTTGTACTTTTCCTGTTTACTTAAGATGTTAGAAAAGAAATTACTGGGTCAAAGTATAATTACATTTATATGTATTTACAAAGTTCTCCTCAGAAAGGCTGAATCAATTTATGCTCCTATAAGTAGCTTAACTTTTCTCCTCTAGGTATCAACCTTTTCCTTCCTTTTTTGAAAGACTTTCTTGCTTTCTTTTTTTTTTTTCGAGTTGGAGTGTCACTCTGTCGCCCTGGCTGGAGTGCAGTGGCTGCTCCCGGCCACCACAGCCTTGACCTGCGGGCTCCGCCGATCCTTCTGCCTCAGCCTTCCAAGTGGCTAATTTTTCTGATTTTATTGTAGAGATGAGGACTCGCCAAGTTGCCCAGGCGGATCTTGAACCCGTGGGCTCAGGCAATCCACTCACCTCAGCCTCCCAAAGGTGCGGGATTACAGGCTGAGCCACCGAGCCCAGCTACTTTCTTTCTTTCTAATGGTGGATGGGGAACCATTTCTCATCTCTTCCTGCAAATTTGAGATCTCCAGCTGCTATCTCTGCTGCTGCAGAAGGCCTTGAATGTCTCCTGAAAGGCTAATTCCCACCATGCCTGCCCCCAGATGGGTAGCCCATATATGGTCTTCCTTGGTGTCCTGTCCTGGCAGTGCTGGCTGTTTTGGTTTTCTAAAAAGACCACTTCCTATTTCATCCTCTTTTGTGGGATGGGGCTGCGTGATTGCCGTATTACAATATAGGATGACTTTAGAGGGTGGGCATTCAGTGGAATCCTGGGTGATTAATGGGAGTGTGTATGTAAGGAACTGTGTCGTTGACTTTTCTCTCCCTCAGAGTGGCAGTGAGCAAGGTATTCAATCATTGTTTCTGTGCAGGTGGCTGCCTTACTGTTGGGGAAGTTCCAGGGTCTGATTGAGAAGTTTTATATCATCGATTGTCGCTATCCATATGAGTACCTGGGAGGACACATTCAGGTAAGATTACACTGTAGACATCAACAGGGCAGGGGCTGGAGATAGCTCTCTTTATTGATATGTCTGTGGACAAAGTATCCTGTGAACTTTAGAATCAGGGCAGAGATAATACACATTTTTTTTTAAATTTTATTTTGAGTTGGAGTCTCACACTGTCACCTAGGGCGGAGTGCAGTGACACATGGCTCACTACCGCCTTGACCTCCTGAGCTCAGGTGATCCTCACCCTCCCAAGTAGCTGGGACTGCAGTCACATGTCACCATGCAAGTTTTTCTTTTGATTTTTTTGTAGAAATGAGATCTCACTATGTTGCCCAGGTTGGTCCCAAACTCCTGGGCTCAAGCAATCCTCTTGCCTCCGCCTCTCAAAGTGCTGGAATTACAAGCATGAGTCACCACACCAGCAAGGTTGAAGTTCTTACTCCTGTTTTAACTCTGTATCCCTTGAGCAACTTCCTTTCCCTTTTCCTCTTAGACCAACTTCATTTTTTTGTAAGAGTCAAAGTAGAAATTAATGCAAGGGGAAGCACTTTATAAGCACTTACTGCTCACGAACATTCCTTGCAATGATCCTTACACTTCTAGCAGGTCAGTTCTATGACATTTATTGAGCATCTACTACATACCAAGCTCCAAGCTAGGCCCTGGGACTAGATACAGAGATATACTTAAGTCCCTTCCCTGAAAGTACTTACAGTCTAGCTTTTCTGGCTCAAATATTCCAGGTTGGTATCTCAGTCATTTCTTTTTTATTTTTTTATTTTTTGAGTTGGAATCTCACTCTGTCGCCCAGACTGGAGTGTAGTGGCCGCTCCCGGCCACCGCAGCCTCGACCTGCTGGGCTCCGGCGATCCTTCCGCCTCAGCCTTCCAAGTAGCCGGAATTACAGGCATGCGCTACCACGCCCGGCTGATTTTTTTTGATTTATTGTAGAGATGAGGTCTCGCTGCCCAGGTGGGTCTCGAACCCGTGGGCTCAGGCAATCCACCCACCTCAGCCTCCCAAAGGTGCGGGATTACAGGCTGAGCCACCGAGCCCGGCCATCTCAGTCATTTCTAAGTGTACTATTCACAAGCCCATGAGGAAGTACTTATTACAATGTGTCTTCTATAGGGAGCCTTAAACCTGTACAGTCAGGAAGAAATGCATAACTTCTTTCTGAAGAAGCCCATTGTCCCTTTGGACACCCTGAAGAGGATAGTCATCGTGTTCCACTGTGAATTCTCCTCAGAGAGAGGCCCCCATATGTGAGTGTCTACATGGGGCAGGGTGGATGGTGAGGAGGCTCTTGTGTTGGACTTCTCAGGCCAGTTCAGACACAGGTTGAATGCTCTCAGTTCAGACACTGAATGAATGCTCTCCACTACAGTTAGAAAAGTGTTAGGGAGGTCCAAGGAAGGTATTACTACGGTTCAAAAGTTTGGAGCAATAAAGGAAAAGGATTGAAAATGAGGCCCCAAGGGAGGGAAGGAGAAAGTGGTGCTACTATTTACACCTTGTTTTGCAAACACTGAAATTGAAAATTTCTGTTTGGGGTTAGCAATAGTCTGTTCTTCCTTCCCTATGCCAACCTTGCTTCTTTCCACCCCACCCATCTCTTTGTTTTCTCTAAAGGTGCCGTTCTCTTCGAGAAGAGGACAGGGCTCTCAATCAGTATCCTGCATTATACTACCCAGAGTTATACATCCTTAAAGGGGGCTACAGAGACTTCTTTCCGGAATATACAGTAAAGTGTGGGGCAAATGGGGGAGCCAACTTTAGCATGCAATTCCTAGAGCCTGCAAAACTCTCAGAAGAAACTACTGCTGCTTCTTAGCAACTGCCAGCAGCAACATCTCCATTATGCTTAGTAGACAAAGTTCAGGAGTCTAGAGAATCCCCCTAACTCTGTCCCCTACCTTTCAGGAGCTGTGTGAACCACAGAGCTACTGCCCTATGCATCACCAGGACCACAAAGCTGAGCTGCTGAGGTGTCGGAGCCAGAGCAAGGTGCAGGAAGGGGAGCGGCAGCTGCGGGAGCAGATTGCCCTCCTGGTGAAGGATGTGAACCCATGAAAATAGACCAGCCACTGGCTGCTAAGGAGTCACCAAAAGATACTACAGAAATCCTTAACAGAAAGAGCTATCGTCTGGATGGTTAAACCCAATAATGCTGAAAGATGTATGCAAAACAACAGGCTGTCAAACTATTGAAGTTCCAAGCGTGGGGACTGGTTTGGTTTCAGTAGCGCTAAAATCTGGTGGCTGAATCCTGGAGCTGACTCTAAAGGCTGCATCCTTGAGGAGCATAGAGATGTGTATTGCTTCAGGGAGTTCTTGCATTCCTCTTCCCAATTACTCATGTCTGTCACAAGCTGTCTATCTCTTTCTCTCTCTGGGTTTCTGTCTATATAAGAGTTCCCCACCTTCTTTCTCTGTATTTTCCTTCTTTTTTCACCCTCTCTCTTTTTTTACAATGGGCAAATAAACACTACAGAATGAGAGGTGTGATTGTGAGCCTAACCTGCTCCTAGAAGATCTGTATAAGGAGGTAGTCTCCTTTATATATACAGGTGTAACCATTTTTATAGTTCTCAAAGTTTGGAACCTGGACCATCAGCATCATCTGAACTTGTTTGAAATGCAAATTTTCAGGCCCTACCTCACACCTCCTAAATCAGAACCTCTGAGGTTAAAGCTCAGAAATCTGGGTTTTAAATCTCCTTTGTCTGTTGATTCTGATGCTTGCTAACGCTTGAGAACCACTGCTCTGGAATTAAGGAAAACCTTTCAAATTGTATTCTTCAGCGGTACCCTAGGCTTTCCGTTTCTAGACCATTCCATGATATGAGTTATTTAAAAGTGTGACCTAGACTCAGCACTGTGTGTTTTTTTGTTTGTGTAGTTGTCTCATACTGTCACCAAGGCTGGAGTGCAGTGGCACGCTCACAGTCACCCCAGCCTCAACCTGCTGAGCTCAGGCAATCCTGCTTTAGCCTTCCAAGTAGCTGGAACCACAGGTGTGTACTACCATGCCCAGCTAATTTTTTGATTTATTGTAGAGACGAAGTCTCCACCAAGTTTTCCAGGCTGCCCTTGAACCCCTGGGCTCAGGCAGTCCTCTGGCCTCCACCTTCTAAGTGCTGGGAGTACAGATGTGAGCCACCGCACCCAGTCAAATGTCATATTAAGGCTCAGAAAACCAAGATCATCTCAGTTTGGTTCAAAAGGTTCCTTGTCTACAGCCTCTGGAGTTTTGATTTTTTTCCATTTCCCAAACTTTTTCCACTCCGTTTTACATCTTATAAAGACAAGTTCAGAATTTGGGATAGTTGGAAGTAGAGATTATTGAAGATAAGAATAAAATAAAGTAAAAGTACAAAGCAAGATCTTTAGCCCTTAGGAAGACCTTGTTTTTTTGATTTGGAGTCTCACTCTCACCCAGACTGGAGTGCAGTGGCCACTCCCAGCCACCGCAGCCTCGACCTGCTGGGCTCCGGCGATCCTTCCACCTCAGCCTTCCAAGGAGCTGGAACTACAGGTGTGCGCTAGCATGCCTGACTAATTTTTGATTTATTGTAGAGATGAGGTCTCGCCAAGTTGCCCAGGCGGGTCTTGAACCCACGGACTCAGGCAATCCACTCACCTTGCCTCCCAAAGCACTGGGATTACAGGCTGAGCCACCGAACCCAGCCAGGAAGACCTTTTAAACTGCATTCTTCAGCAATAACCCAAGTTTTCCTTTCTTGGAGCATTTTCAGATGGTTACACTCAAGGCCAAGTGTAGCCCTACTTGACCTTGAGCAGCAGTGGAATTGACTGAAAACATTTTCATTCTCTGGCATTAACCTAATAGTTCTTATAGCCCAGGTCTAGAAAGAACTAAGCACTCTTAAACCTAGGCTGAGATACAATAGAGACAAATATCAGCTGGGCACAGTGACTTATGGCTATAATCCTAGCACTTTGGGAGGCCAAGGTGGGAAAGTAGCTTGAGCCTAGAAGTTTGAGACCAGCCTGGGCAACATGACAAAACCTCGTCTCTACAAAAGATACCTCTCCAAAAAAATTAGCTGGGTGTGGTGGTGTGCACCTATAGTCCCAACTACAGCTGCCGGGGATCAGGTAAGAGGCTCGCTTGAGCCCTAGAGGTTGAGGCTGCAGTGAACCCAGGTCATGCCACTGCATTCCAGCCTGGGCGACAGTGAGACCCTGTCAATGAATGAATGACATCGTCCCTGACTCTGGAGTAGGGCAACAGTGAGACCTTGTCAATAAATAAATAAATGGCATCGTCCCTGATTCTGGAATAGGGTGACAATGAGTCCAGGTAGGTAGGTAGGTAGATAGATAATCTTCCCTGATTCTGGTGTAGGGTGACAATGAGACCTTGTCAATAAATACATAAACAAATGGCATCCTCCCTGATTCTGCAGTAGGGCAACAGTGAGACCTTGTCTATGAGTGAATGAATAAATAAATGGCATCTTCCCTGGTTCTGAAGTAGGGAGACTTTTAAAGCAAGTGGGAGGCAAGGAGGGTTGTGAGTAGTCACAGGACAACCCTGTGCCTGTTTGGACTGAATTCCTTTTTCAAGGTTCACATGTGCTCTTGCCCTGGAGTGCCTCATGCATGTCTCACAGCAGAGGGCACTGCTGTATTCTCCAAGCCAGCCAGCTGAACCTGCGGCCTCCCCTCCTAACCTGTCTGTCAAAAGGGAAGCTACATTCTTGGCTGCCTTGGCCCTTGATCTCAGAGCTCAGAAGGGCTGGCGGAAGTAAGGAGAAAAAAGCTGGGGCTACATTAGGTGGAGATAGCTGAGGGAAAGAGGCTGCTCTTTTGTCCCACCCACACACAGAACCCTGTGTGTGGTGCAGGGTTCAGGAATTCCTAGTAGTCTGAGGAGGAAACTGCTTGAAGCACCTCCTCTTCTGTATACAAGGGGCCCCTGCCTCACTGCCCACCCTAATGGGTCATTGCTTGAGAATTCTTCCCGAAGGGTAGAACCACATCCTAAATGGGAAGGGATTGATGCACATGTGTCTGCATGTCAAGTACTCTTAATTAAATGGAAACTCTAAGTTGCAAAACAAAAAAGACGATGGCTTAGTTATCTCCTTTGTGAAAAATTGTATTTACCCAAAAGTCAACATTTTTCTTTTTTTTTTTTTTTTTTT